TTTTAAAGTACATTTGACATGCCCCATAAGAGTTGTGACATTTAATCTATTTGCCAACTTTTTGGCTTGAGAAACACCCAGGAGACTGGTGAAGCACACTTCTGGATGTGTCTAGGGGGCTGGTGAATCCATGACTTTGAGAACCACACCTGGCCCATGACCCTTCTTCCCTGGCACTCTCCCCCTGAGATCTGCTTTCCAGTCGCCATGAAGGAAATAGCTCTGCTCTGCCTTATCCATCCACTGTGATGTTTCTCCTTTGCAATCTTCCAACAATGGACTGAAGCCCATGAGGCTATAAGCCAAATGAAACCTCTCCTCCTTAAAACTGTAGAACTATTTCAAATGTGGGCAGAAAAACTGACCAATATAAAATGGTCAACAATAAACCATAAATCTGACATAGGTCCTAGAAGATTTTAATGGAGCCAAAAATAATTCCTATCAATCAGCATGTTTGTGGTAAAACTGATACAAACAAACCACTGCTCTGTAGGTCATATAAAACTACAGCACACACAATTATGCAGCACACTTACTACTTGATAATGAAATGAGCATGTTATGCTTTATGTGTTTCCTATATGTGTTAGTCAGCTTTCTTGTTGTGCCAAAATACCTGAGATAAATCAGCTACAAGAAAAGGTTTATTTCGGCTCATGGTTTCAGAGATTTCAGTCCATAATAGCCAGCTAGCTCCATTGTTTTGAGACTTGTGGTTAGTTAAATACATTGTGGCAAGAAGGTAGAGAAAAACTACTCACCTTATGCTAACCAGAAAACAACAAAAGATGAGAAAGCCTGGGCTGGCAGCCTTCCTCCTTCCTCTCCTTTTGTTCCATTTGGGTCCCTAGTCTACTGGGTGCAACCACTCACATCGAGGGCAGGTGTCTCCCCGTAGTCTGCTGCCCCATGTGTAAAGCTGGAAACAGCCTCACAGAGACACCCAGAAATGTGCTTCACCAGTTCCCTGGGTGTTTAACTCAATCAAGTGAGCAACCAAGATTAACCATCATACAATACAATACTTTAAAATGCACTCCTATGTGTTAAAAAAAAGTTTACTGTACAATATGTGATGTCCCACAGCCTAAACCCCACATGTTTGCAGTGTTTTGGGGCACTATCCAGAGGCACATGGAGTGATTTGCCAGTGTAGCTTCTCAGTGCACTGCAGGATAAGGAAGAGGTCACCTAATGGCTCACTTATCAGTGTTGGTAAGCAACATGTGACTGTAGCTGATTGTCTGCATTTTATAAAGCTGTTTCCCCTAACCTTCCTCAAAAACATGAAATTCAAGTGCAATCAACAAAAACTAGGAGAATATATGCACAGCAGACCACACCCATGGGTGTGTGATTTTCTGGGTAATAGGGTGGGTGAGTGTGCAGGAAAGAAAAAGGAAGGAGGGAGGAAAAGTAATGGGAGAAGAAGCAAAGGGAGGAAAAGAGAGGAAAGAGGTAATACAGGTGGAGAAATCCCCTTCAGATGGAGGCCTCAGCAGAGCCTTCGCACTCGTGGAAGACTTGGGCTACAGTTTGTCATCGACATGTCCCTCAGTTTGTCATCTGTCCCTGCAGTTGGTAGAAGAATTCTTGCTGTGATGGAGGAAAAACATCCAAGTCCATGTTTCTTGGGAATCTCTCTAAACAATAAATCAGGTCTCTGCTCAGAGGAGCGTGAGTGACACAGGAGCCCACACACCTGACCAGAACCTACCATCACCCCGCAAGAGACCCAGCCCCAAAGCCAAATGAATTCATGGGAAGGCAGAAGTCTTTTCTCTTTGGCAGCTCGACCTTTGATCCCTCCTCTCCTCCCAGGCAGAAGCCTTTTCAAATTTTTTTTCATTTTTGTTTGGGATCACTGCTTCTATTTCTCATGATGCCAGAGTGGCAGAGCTTGTCACCAAAACCAGTGGCTCCAGGAAGAGGTCCAGAGACCCCCAGATGGTTAAGGACAACACCACAGCCATCTCTTTGTGAAGCAATGAGCTCTCCAAACACTTTTCCAAAGAAGTCTTTTATGACCTGCTGTTTAAATGGGAAACATTTTTTCCTAAGAGACCCAGTGAAACAGCTGACAGGGATCTTCAAATAAATCAGAACAAACCTGTAGACACACACACACACGCACACACACACACACACACACACACACACACACACAGAGCATAACACATTTGTCTGTTTTCATCAAAATCCTAGCAGAAAGCTTTGTAATCTCATGAAGTTTAGGAAATCTATGTATCTGAATATAAAAAATTAATATTTATTTCACTAATTTGTAACTGAAAGTATGTCCTTTGATGATTAAAGTTCCTTTGGTTTGGTCATCAGTAGAAAGTGCGGATATTTTTATATTTCTCAAATTTTAGTTTTTGCTCATCACATTTTCAGGTCACGGTAATTGTTAGACACCTTCACAAAGAAGAAAAGAGTTTCATGTAACTTAAATATGTTTTTCTTAATATTTTAATAATTCTATTTCAATACAACTTTTTCTTCTTTATACATCTTATTGTAGGCATTTTTAAACTCTGTCCTGAGAGGAGCCACCAGATTGCCAAAGAGATCCATGTCACACACATGCACGCACACACATGAACCCATAGCATTCAATATTCAGAGGACGCTTACTCCTATTTCAAGTGATGTCCATCCAGCCGGAAAAGTCAGTGATCACTTAGCCGTTGTCTTCCTCAAGTGACTGTCCTTAGAGCCTGATGGATGCTGCACTGCCAAGTCAAGTCTGCAGTCTCCCTTTTCCTGGCGAACTACAGAGACAAAAGCAGAATCCTATTTCCTGAGTTTGAAGGCACAGATGCTTCGAGGTGCACCTGGGGAGTGCTTCCTAACATTACGGCCACTCCCCGTGTGACACCTTTTTCTGAGCCTCTGCTTCAGAGGGCAAAACTAGGAATCCTCACTCAGACCTAAACATGCACAGGTCCCAGGCTCAGGGTCTTTCAAGCAGCTTTCTTCCTCTCAGTGTCACACGAAGGTGGGCAGGACCACCATGACTGTGGCCCCCAAGCATCTCCGTAGCTTCTAGGCTGGGATTGTGTGCCATCTTCCTCTGACAAAGTCCCAAACATAGGAGGTATGGCTCTCCCACAACATCTGGCTACAGGAAGCTCAGACTCACTTATTCCTCTGAATCTAATTAGATCTGTTCCCACCTCTTGTCCCATGAAGAAGGACTCTCCATGCCCAGAAGCTCCAGCCTCAACCTTGGGGCTCACTCAGTGCCAGAAAACTGAGGGAAGCATCATCTTCAGAGTGACTGTGGTTCCCAGGGTTCCTGTGCCTCGCTGGTGCCCTTGGTTCCCAGGAAACCTAAAGGTGCCCCCTCAGTGGGCTCTGTTTGCCCAGATTTCACCCTCACTGCTGTATCCAATGTGAGGGACCCAAAGGCCACTTTGTCAGCCGTGCTGGTCCCACAGAGGAGCTGCTGCGTCCATTAGCCCAAGCCTGTCTGAGCCCTCATCTCAGCAAATCTAACCTCAGCTGGTTTGCCGCATCCCAGCTCCATCAGAGGCACCAATGTGATGCCTCTTGATGAGTCCAGGCCCTCAGAAGCCAAGTGCGAGCTGGGTGGTCATCTTTTGAGGGCCTAGCACGCTCTCCTTTTCCCATGAAACCTCAAAACCACTGAGCTTAGGGAACATAAATGCCTGGCCTCATGATGGGAATAAAGGTAAAAGCTACAGCCACAGAAACAAAATGTAAATTAATATTCCAGTCAAAACTGGTGTCGTGGTGCACACCTATAATCTCAGCTGCTTAGGAAGCTGAAGCAAGACGGTTGCAAAGGTTGAACCCAGCCTGAGGAACAGGGACTTAGTATGATTCTGCTTTAAAATAAAAAGTAATTTTTAAAGAGCTAGGGATGGAGCTCAGTTCTAGGTTCAATTTCTAGTCCTGAAGATCAAAATAAACACATGAATCAAAGATGCACTTCTAAGGAAAATTAACTACCCTACAGTAAATGTATATTTGTAGAAATAGACCTATTATTTTATTTGGCAACCAGAAACTACATTTTGAGGTTGAGGTGATTTGCCAATCATTTTTTCTGAGTTTTTTTTTTTTTTTTTTTTTTTGTCTTTTTCCTTTTTATTGGTACCAGGGATCGAACTCACAACTGCCTGCTTGCAAGGCAGGTGCTTATGCCGCTGAGCTAAATCCCCAGCCCGATTTCCCAATCATTAAAAACACAAGCCAGGCTTGGTGGCACATGCCTGTAATCCCAGCACTCGGGAGGTTGAGGCAGGAGGATCATGGTGAGTTCAAAACCAGCCTGGGTTACAAAGTGAAGTCAAGGCCATCCTGAACTATTTATTTTATTTATTGTACTTTTTGGTCTTTTTGAGATCTTGTCTCCTTTTCCCGTGAAACCTCAAAACCACCGAGCTTAAGGAACATAAATACCTGGCCTCATGGTGATCGTTTTGAGATCTTGTCTCAAAAAGACCAGAAAATAAAATAAATAAATAAAAACACAAAGCCTTCGCGCGTGCACACACACACACACACACACACACACACACACACACACACACAGTTTTGCAAACCTCACAAGACAGTCTCAGTGAAAGCCAATGAGCTGGCAATGGTTACCACAATTTTCACTGCAGAAGCCTGGAGATTCTGGGTAAGGGGACCCATCAGGGTACCGTATCAACAGCGCACAGCTGCTCCTAAAATGAATGCTACAGCAATAATGGTAACCCCACTATGTCCCCTACAAACCATCCTGCTGGTTTCTGGCTAGTTCAGCCTGGCCGTGGTGAATTTCTAAATGTTTCCCCACTAACAGAGCAAAACATATTCCAACTTGCATGGTCATTACTCACTCTTAAAAGATTAATTTAACAAAAATGAATACCCACCACAGTAATGAATGTCATTCATTGGGAAAGTGGTTTGAGAAAGCTAGCCACACTGGAAAACATGACTTTTTAAATTAATGACAGAACCAAAGATTATTTTCAGATTGGGTCAGCATTTTTGAGAAGTAATGATTAGCCAGGGTGGGAAAAGTCCAGATTAGTATTAAGTGCTTGCATGTTATGCACAGAATTAGCTAACCCCAAGCCTGTGACTTATTATTCAGTCTGTCACCAACAGCTTTACTAGCCAGAAGGGACAGGCAAGGTCAGACAGTGTGGCGAAACCTGGGGTTGGACAGGCTGCTGCCGGCAGGTCTGAGCTACACGGATCTGCCACCATCAAGAGCTAATAAGGAACAGCAGACAGTTACTGAGGTACCACTGCACCAAGCCACTGGTAAAAATAGGTTTCATTTATGCTACAAAACTACACCATGCAGGACGTACCTTTACAGTATTGTTGTTGTTCTTGAGCTCTCTTTACAGTTAAGGATACTGATGAACAGAGAGATTGGGTAATTTGTCATTAGACTCACACGTGGGGCATTAGGATCCAGGATTTAATTCGGGACAAGGTGGCTGCAGAGAACATATATTTAACCACAGCTAACTATGGAGGCAAGGGTGAAACACACACGTCCGCACACATGCACACCCCTAACTCAGGAGCATGTGCACACAGTTGTGTGATGATGTAGGCCACACCCACTGACAGTAATGGTGAGTTCATTGTCATGGTTAATCCTCCGTGATAACAGTGCTAACCAATCCCTACAGAGCATGGTCAGCGTCTCCACCTCAGCCTTAACTCCTCACATAGTATCATTCAGCGAATTCTTCTCTTTCTCGATTTTTATTTTTGTGCTGTCCGTGTTCACTGTACGTAATGATTACATTGCTAACGGGAAATTGGTGCATGAAGGTAATGCTTCCTTTAGCAAAAGATCCATCTCCGTTTCCTGTTATTGTTCTTGTATTTTGCTCTTCCTTGATTTGTTGCATTTCTTAGGTAACAGAAACTGTGATGTTTAAGTTTGTGTGTCTGACTCAGCTATTATGCATTGTGCTGCTATAAATAGGGCTATACAAGTATTACAGTGATTTAATGCTCTACCACTTTGGGGGATGGAGCTGGCAGGGTGGAGGGGCAGCAAGGTAGATGTCAGTGAAGTTTCAATTTGCATTTCTCAACCTTGGGAAAGACTTGCTATTATTGCTAAGCCCAGAGACACTAAATCACAGGAAGGTCACAAGAAGAAGCTGAGCCAGAATTTGAGCCCCTTGGGATGCTCTTGACTCCTATAACCTCCTGTTGAAGCAGATGTTTGTGCTTATGTTGCCATCCAAGAAGCTGATTCAGTCAGCTTGGATGCAATTTGTCCCTCAGAAAAATAGCATTAATCTATTAATTTTCAAAAGCTACAAAACACTGACTAAGGGAACATTCTAATTTGTGCATATGTGCAGGGTGTGCGTTCCCCTCTGTAACAGGACTGAACAGTGAGTAGATAGATACGCCCGTGACAGCGCGCACACGGAGCTTCAGTGCTCCTTCTGAGAGTGGCCCGCCCTCCCTCCTCTCACCACTGCCCACCTTGCACTTCTGCCCTGGTCTTGCCCTTTTTCCAGGGCTGGCTTGGCACTGCATCCCTCACAGGAGCTGTGCCCAACTATGGGCGCTCTCAGGACAGACCCCTAACCCCACACCCAAAACCACTGTGCTAGGGAACAGAGGTGCTGAGACCTGGAAGATATGGCATAATCTAAGAGAGGGAGGTGACAAAAATTACAAAACCTAGCAGCAAGAATAGACACCCAACAGGCACAGTGCCTTACAAAGATAGTGAGAGACACTGGAGCTTGTAAGGGGAGAAATGCAGAAGGGCTTGGTGAATGAGGGGTATCTCAGATGGAGCTGATAAAACATAAACATCAGCGGCAGAGGTGGTAGTCTGTGTCTGCACCAGGCCAGACCCCAAGAGTAAAATCTGTGGGAGGCGTTGGGCTGTGCTTCCTGTGTGTGGGTCAGGAGTCCGAAATGCTGTGCCCCTCATTCCAGAGGAACAGCTGATGGCTTTGAGTTTAGGAAGGAAATGATCAGGGGAAAGATATTTTGATTAAAAAACATAAACAGATTAGAACAGGAAGGCAGGGGCGGTGCAAAGTGTCCTTCAGATGCTGGGCAGGAATGGGTGACGGAATGGACAAAATAAAACCTCCCGCAAAAAATGTGGAAGTCAGCTCCACATGGTTTGAAGATTTATCGGCTGAGGAGACAGTAAACGAAGAAGAGCTGGAGGTGATACCAAGCTCTTGAACCTGGGAAACTGGAGAACTCAGCTATTTAGCGATACAGAAAAGTCAAAAGGAGGAGCTGGCTTGCGGGAAGGAAGATTTCTGTGTTGCTCACACTGACAACCAAGTGAGTTTCTGGCAGTCAGTTGTCTATATGGGATCAGCGCCTCAGGAAGTGGATAAGGTGTAAGCGATCAGAAAAGTGAGATATCTGTCACAGAGAAGCTGGCTAACACAGATGAAGTCTAACAATAGAACTTTGGTTAAGAAAGACCTGTGGCAAAAGGGATGGAAGAACTGATAATAAAGGGCCAGAGAAAAAGTGGAAGGAAAACTGAGGAAAGGGTACTCAACATCAGCTATGCCAAATGCTACAGAGATCTAGATGGACTTGAGAACAAAGAAGGAAGTAGGAAGGGAAGGAAGGAAAGGGAAGGGAAGGGAAAAGGGAGAGAAGGAGAAAAGAAAGAAAAACGGGAGAAAGTGAAGAAGAAAAGAGTTCGTGGTTTACTACCCTAGTTCCCAAAGACAGCTAGCAACCAAGGGAGCTATGCCTGTGTGCAAGAACACTTTTACAGAAGTGATAGAGCTGCGTGATTCCATGGTGACACGCGCAGACCTAGGAAGATGGCACACACCAGCATAACTACAAACGAACTCTTCAGAGTGCAGCAAGGAGACAAATGCATCTGTTCCTCTTCTGCTCAAACATGTGGGAAAGGGCAAACATGCTCCAGTCATCAGCCAAACCTGGACAGTGGACAAGTGGCTAAATCAGATAAAGATGTTCAACGTTTGTCTTCTGTAGTAAACTAAAGTGGTCATAAAGGCAGAATACTTTGTCCCAATTGCAATACAGTTTTACAGGCTTAAGACAAGGAGGAGAATGGAGTCTATTTCCTCCTCGTTCTGGTTCGTTTTTCATGACTACAAGGCTTGTGGTAGTGCAGGAAGAATCTGCTGCATTTACTGGGGGTGAAAGAAGGGTAAGAGGCTGGCAATATTCTTTTGCTTTTTAAGTCTCACATACATGGTTTGCAGTTGCATAATGTACATTATTGTTTCGAGCTCCCAGGGTTATGTCTTGGGCAGTCAGAAGGAGGCACAAGATTTGACTAATGTCCGCCTCTCTAATATGTAAAAGGGTAAAGAACATTAGCAAATGGCCATGTTATATAAATGAATGTCCAGCCACTGTAAGCCATCCAAACTGCTAAAATTCTAAGAAAGAGGAAAGAGTTATACAAGATTTCTTAGCTCCAGAAATACCACCATTTAAGTCATGTGACTCTTTGCTAAGGGAAAGGGTTGACTTTCTTGTGCCTGTGGGTCTGTAGCAGTGTTTCCCGATCACTGTCAGGAATCAGGTGCAAGAAGCCCATCCCACCACAGTGAGTTTTCAGATTCAAAGTGGAGCTGCTATGTCAAAGTCTGGCAGATGGAGTCAGGGAAGACCGAGAAGGGGGAGTCTTAGGCGTGATTTGCCTGATGACGGAAGTACAGCGGGAAAACTTTCTGAATCTCAGAGTGCAGCTTACCACACTGGCTCCCAAAGACAGCTAGCAACACAAGGAAGCGAGGCAGTTCTGCAAGAACACTCACCCAACCATTCTCAAACTCAATCCAAGGAAAGAGGCAGCTCAAGCTTTGGGCTCATTTTACATAGTAACTGCAGCACCCCATCCAGGCTCACTTGCTCTCAGTGATGCCAAAAGTGCCAATAGATTGCTTTAGAAACACCCTATGTAGTGTTCTCCTAACCAACAAACTCATCTTTCTTTCTTTCCTTTGTTCTCAAACATACAAGAGACAACCTCAGCCTGTACCTGTGGCCCTAGATATTTCCATTTGTCTTTGTTTTGCATAGAGATTCATCTCTATGTTTGTTTGTTTGACTATTTTTTGGCAATACAGGAGACTGAACCCAAGGCCTTCATACTAAGCTACATCCCCAGCCCTTTTCTAAATTTTTCAGTTTGAAACAGGGTCCTGAGCCACTAAATGGCCTACGCTGGGCTCAAAATTATAACCCTTGTAATCCAGAGTGTTGGGATCACAAAGCGCACCATCATACATGTCTGTTTTGTTGTGGTGGTGGTGGTAGTTTTGAGTTGTTTGCTTGTTTGTTTATTTGACTGACACCAGTCATGACAATCAAAAATGCCTCTGATCATAGTTAAATGTCCCCTGGAGGGTAAGTTTGACCCTGGTTGAGAACCAGTGCAAGATAGAAATAAGCACATAGATAACCATTTAAAATTTAAAATTTTTCCTTTTGTTCAAAATATTTTGAAAAAAATACTTCTTTTTTTAAGGTATTTTTATAAGCTGAAAAATCAAAATTTCTGATTACTTGTCAGACTAAAGAAAGTCTTGCTGTGTCCACTCACCAAATAGAGGCAATAATCCCGGCAGGTTTCCTGTTCCCAATATAAAAAGGCTTACAAAACTTTAAGCCATTGACAAATAAAATCCAGTCACTGTATTAAGCTTTGAACTCTACTCTTCCCCCCTTTAACTTTGGACATCTATGACCAAAAGAACACAAGCTCCACATGTAGCATTTCAACTGTGGGGTAAGTTCTGTGGAGCAAATACTATAAAAATGAATCTTATTGCTGAAGGCTAAGTAAGTTGCTGGAGAAACCAGCTCTTCCCAAAGAACAGCACGAGATTATTAAGAAGATAAACATTCTGCATAATGAGCTGCAGACATGATGTTCGTAGCTATCTGTGGGGTATTGGCAAGTGCAGAGATGAAGGATTATTGCTATTTATCATTTCCTTTATGTCTTGGAGCAATTATCATCCTTTGGATTCATTCACAAAAGTGCCTAATCAAACACAAAATGTAAGGGAAGTTCTAAAAGTGATCATTTGACTTCTTGGACCTCAATTTCTTATCTTAATAGGTGATTAGATAGTGTTGTCTAACCACCAATTAAAATATCCAGCACTCTAAGTTCAAGGGGGAAAAGTTTATTTAGCTCACAGTTTGAGGAGGTTTCAGTCCATAGTCAGCTGGCTGCAAAGCAGGGTGGCACATGGCACAGGGACACTGCAAAGGAGAAACAGTCCATGGAGTGGCAGGGCAGGCAGAAGCCAGCAACTCAGTGAAGCAGCAGCAGCTTCTCTCTGCCCCTTGAATTCCACCCAGGCTGCCTGCCTTTTGAGTGATGTCACCCACACCCAGTATGAGACCATCTTAGCCCCAGCATCACACTCTTAATTTGGGCCCCACATCCTTACTCCCAGCCTCACCTCCTAATCCGGCCACCTTCAAAACTCCCCACCTATAACTGCATGAGGCTTTGGGCAAACATCTAGATAAAGCCATCACAAGCTCATTCTCACACTGTCCATGCATGTATTTTATTTTTAAAATCCTAAGTGGCCTTGTGCTCTGCCTTTTTCTTCTCCTGGAAATATCGCCCTACTTTCATTAGCCTCCAGGCCACTGTCTCTTTGAGACCAACATTGTGCTTTTGAGTAAATTGTAGAATTTTGATAGAAAGATATTTAAAATTGATATATACACTTCAGATTTGTGACTATCAAGACCATGTTGAAAGCTTTGATGGAGAAGATAACCAGGCTCCTCTTTGGATACTTTCCTGAGTTCTGTTTTGCCAGAGTCTGACACAAATGATTCCACTTTGAAGCCAATCCCTTTCCTGATGGTTAGAAGGTTCTACTGGCATTCAGTGGCTAGAAGCCAGGAATATTACTAAACATCTACCCAGAACAGGACATCTCTTTTCACAAATGTAATTTGGCAATGCTTTCCAAGTTCACTCCATGATACATCCACTGGAAAAATGGCCATCCCAAATAGAAAATATTGGGGTAGTAAGAAGTCTTGAGACCCTGTGTTCATTCTTATTATATTCAAATTTTCCTAGGCTATGAGAGGCACTGTATTGTTTCAGAGAAGACAGCAAATACCTCTCTCTTGGGTCACATAGCACCTTCAATCGTAACACAGAGGAAAGGCTTCTTGTACCATTCCAGCGAAACCATGAGGTTTTTATCCAAGGGAAAAGGAAAATTAACGTAGAGATAGGGACATCCCAAAATTCTAGCTGGGGAATTGTAGAAAAAATACTTACAATGGGGATAAAATTACACACCCCAACTTTTATTTATATTAGTTTTTATTGTAATTTAATAAGCAGCTGATTTTTGAAAATGAGAGAAAGAACATGTACCTCATAATCCAACTTTGCACCTGAGTCAGCACATGGAAAAGCTTGTTATTTAAAGAATAACCCTCTCAGGCTGGAGAAAACTAGAGGATTCAACTGCACTCTTTCTTAAGATGCTTCTCTTGGCAAGTTTTGCTGTTATCATAGGGGATACCTGGAACACAGCCCTTTTCCAACAGCATCACCGCAGAATCACCTTACCATAATTTTAGACAAAACTACCAGTTGTCGTCTTTCTTTTCAAAGAAACAAGAAAATGAAATGAAAAGCAATTATTTCTCTGATTCATAGGAAATAGACCAGGGGATGAGACAAAAATGGTACTGATTAATAATGAAAATACAACCAACCTGATAAAGCAAGCACCATGCTCTGTAGTAGGTAGCACAGAACAAACTTCACTTGATTTTCTTATGCAAGCACGCCATGGGTGCTTTAAAAGAGAGATGTAGCATGTAGCTCGCTCACTGTTGAACTTGAAAATTAAGAAACTGAAACCTTCTGAGCTGCCTTTCTCTATGGAAAGGGAATCAGAGACCTTCTCTTCAAGGATTTTTGTAGGAAAACTTACAGTTCCAACAGGACCTTACCCTTTGTACATTTTTATAGTCTCCCCCTGCTTGGCTGGATGTTCTACAGCTTTGAAAACATCCTGCTCTCCTTTTTTTAAATATATAGTGCTACATATTTTTATTGAGACCTTTCAGCGTACTAGATTTTGTTTAGAGCTCTTGGGTTTTCATTGTTTGGGTTGGGACTTTGCTTTTACGAGGTGTCACGGCAGAAGAAGGGGTGTGCTGTGTTTTTCCTCTGCTTTTATTTTAATTGCTGCACGCTCTTCTAATCCTTCCCCTAGTGCTGACCCCTCCAAAAATATGATAATCTCATTTCCTGCATCTGAAGAGAAATTCTTAGCAGGTCAAGAATCTTCTTCAGGTTTATGCAGTTATTTTAGCCTTCCTCTTCCCATTAACTACACGAAACCTCAAGATGAGTGAAAACATGATGGGAGTTTTTTCCAAATATGCTTGAAGTAGACATATGGTTTCTGTTCTGTCCTGGAAGAGCCTGTTCCAGAGAACTGCAGCTTTCTGATCCTCCTTATTTGTTGGCATTTTATTGTTTCTAGGAAGTCTAGCAGGGAAAACTTTTCATGGAGCAAAATCTTAAAAAATAAAGTTTACTTGGAAGCAAATGACCTAAATCTATACAGAAACATTAAAATCTCCCTCAGGAGACCATGAATAACAGAAAAGGACACAGATGAGATCTAATAAAAAGTGTTCTCAAAACCACTTGCTTCCATATCCAAATGGCAATCTACTTTCTCTTCTGGCTCTGAAGCTGGAGAAAGGGACCAATTTAATTCTGCGATTCCCGCCTCTACCCTTGTGGTTGGATCTGAACTCTGTGACATGCAAGATGTCTCAAAGGAGAGCAGAACAGTAGTTTTCTGTATCCTTGGAACACCTGTTAAGAGGTTATAGGGGGTTTTATATACAGCAAGTAGAACTCCAGTCTTCTCTCTGAGGGAAAAAGAAAAAAAAGAGCCTCATTAAAATATATGGTTTGCCAAAGTTTCATTGCTCTAAAGAGTCAATACAACTTTCAACCCTTAGGCACGCTGCAAATTGTGCTTTCAACCTTTCCAAAGCCTTCTTATAAATTCTGAGCCTAAATATATTCCCCATCATTTTCTAAGCTAAAGTGGTTTCTGATTTAACAGCTACCTTACCACAATAGTGGTTAAAGAAGTTATTTCTTAATGAGCCAGTACATTATACACATAGTTTCATGTAATGTTACATGCGTAGTTTCATATTATATATATATGGTCATCTTGTAAGTGCAACTATGCGATTAGCATGAAAAGCTCTTCAGAAAAATCAACAGGAGCCAGAGCATCTAAAATATTACACATTTAGCAACAGGAAGCATGAGACCAGTGCAGTAGATTGAGTTGGCATAGAGAATACCATCCTTCAAAGATATATAAATGCTGACTTAAAAATATAACAAAAATAATAATAATCTAAGAGTGAAACAAGAAAAATTCCCAGGTCCCAGAAAATGGTGAGACTACAATCCAAAGAAATGAGCTGGTGGCAAGTGACTCATGGGAAATCTGTCTCATGTATCACCCCAAGAGGTTCAGATCTGGTCTACCAGCAGGAGAGTCAGGATATATGAATTCAAGATCAAGGAACCTAGAAATGGGCCTGAGTTCAGCCTTCTAAAAATAGTGGAGAATCTTGCATGTCACTCCATATTCAAGGTGGGAAAGAGAACACTTTTATCCATTGACCTGGGTGAGTCACAAGAATCTCACTTTCTCCTTAAACTACCTTAGCCATCATGTGAGACATGTGAGTCCTTGGCCTCGGCTCATGCTCAGTGTGGGGTTTGATTTCTACTCCAAGCTTCCCAAGACATCTAAGAATGACACATTAACATTTAAAAATGAGCTAAAACATTGAAATGTGCAAACTACTCTACAGGAATAACTCAATGATCCATGGTGCAAAGGGCTCTAAAAACAACCTCAGCTGTAGATGAACTAACAATAAAAATAACCAACCATGAGAGAAAGCAAACCATTGAATAATAAGAGAATTGGAATCTCAAGAATTAGAAATAGCAGATTGTTTTATGCTTCTGTCACTATAACAAAATGCCTGAGACTGGTAACTAATACGGAAACAGAAGTTTACATAGCTCTCAGTTCTAGAGACTGGGGAATCTGAGAGCATGGTGCTAGGATCTGTGCAGGTGTCTTCCTGCATGACAATATAGCAAAGGGCATCACCAGAAGAGTCAGAGGAAGCAACTAACAAGTCTCTGTTACTCTTCTTATAAAGCCACTAATGCCATCACAGGGGACCCACCCTCATGCTTTAGCCTCCTGATTGCCTTAGCATATGAATTTGGGCATTAAGTTTTCAACACACAGAAACTTAATGAGGACACACTTGAATGGTAACATAGATATACTGGAAAATAGCTTGACAATGATCTGTTAACAACAATGAAAAGGATAAAGAGAGAGAAAGAAACCACAGAGTGTCACATTAGTACAAAATCTAATTTTGAACATCCTTTTGCTTATCGAATCACAGAAGAGAAAAAAGAGCAGAATCACTGAGTTCTGAGGAATGTGTATGAAAAGTGTACTTGAAAAGGACTCATTGCCCAATCTGAACAGGCAATTTTTTTTCAGATCACGTAAGACCCATACGGAACATGCAATAAGTTCACAGGGCTGGCATCAGGAGTTATGTAGTTATATGGTCTTTTCCTTGAGCAGCAGAGCCTGCATTGATCAGAGCAAAAAACCAGTGTAATCTTCCTGGAATCCTTGGCAGCCTCCAGACAGGAAGTTTTGTTTACCATGTACCAGCTTCAGTCTTCTTCCAAAAGTCAGGCAGGAGACCTTGGAGACCTTTGATCCTTTCCTTTCCTTCTTTTCTTTTCTAATACAATTGCTCATTTCTTATGATTTTTCCAAGAGTGATAAACTCCACAATGTTTATCCAAGTCACAACAGTCAAGTAATTTCCTCTTCTTTTTTCTAGCAATCTTTAAAGTAAAAAGAAACATCCTGAACAAAACCAGGATCACCATTCCTAAACAAGTTACCTGTCCTCGTGGAATGCTGTAGGAAACTGCCATACATGGGTGGCTTAACCCAGAGAGATGTATGTCCCACCGTTCTGAAGGCTGGTAAGTACAGAGCAAGATGCTGGCCAATGTGATTCTTTAAGAAGCTTTTCTAACCATGACCTTCTCACTGGAGTCTCGTCTAGGGAGGTGGCAGAGTGCAGACACTCTGCAGTCTCTTGTTAGAAGGACACTGATCCCATTATAGGACCCTACTTTCATAACTTCATCTATAATTAAAGATGCCACCTCCTAATACTTTTGGGATTAATGCTTCAACATGGGATTGTAGAGAAATACAGACATTCATATCATCATTCGATACACCTGGCATGCACCTAACCAAGCACATGTCTGATCTGGTGAAAGTTATGATCACTTTATTCATTTGTAATATGGGAAAAATCATTCTTCATGAAAATGTCCTTAGAAGATTACAATAATTTCAACAGGTGCTAGTTTCTTGTCTTTCAATCAGTAATCTTGAATTCCATTAGCTTGGTTCATCCATGAATCATAAACTAGATTTTATTTTAAAAATAGTCAAAAATATATGATAACAGTGACTCACTTTACTCAATTTCTTTGGGCTACCTAACTCCTCACCCATTTACCGCCTATCCTTAGAACGTCCAAAAAATTTTTAGGAACATGACATTAACTACATCTAGAAGAGAAACTGAATGCTTTCAGAGGGCAATTATTTTTATTTCTGATGAACAAAATATAAATAAATAATAAAGGATTAAATTGTTTACCTAAGAAAATAACTCACGCAACAAAAGGTTCTGTCTCTGTCATTATGAATCTAAAAACCTTCTTGAATACAGAAGAGAATCCAATATAGAATGATTAGCCAATATAACCTCTGTGAAGTAATTAAGATGAAATCGATATTCAACATAATGAGCAATGTTCTTTAACTAACTAGTGTAGTATTATAAAGACAAATTTCCATTTGAGGAAGAAGTCTTGCAACAAGATGAAGTCTCATAGTCATTATGAACCTATTTTCAAGAATCATTAGGAGTCAAGAACCATACATAATCAGTTAAGTCTCATAAACCTTGCAAAATAGCTTCATATTTTGACTAAATAGCTTCAGAAAAATCAGAGAAATTCTGTAACTAACAAGCAAAACAATGGCATTAACGGTAGAAGACATCATTTCATAAACAACTTCAGCACCAGTCTCTAGGGGGTAAAATGTGTCAACTGTATCAATCTTCAGACTGCCCAATGTCCAAAACAATAATGTATCCATCCAAATTGTTGGAGAATTCAGCTTAATTTCAGTTATTACTCCTGTTAGATATTGTTATGCTACCTGAATAGTTCCCAAATTATTTCTTTGAAACCCACAGAAAAATTTAGAAAAAGTTCCATGCTCTTCCATGACACTAAGATAAATCAAAGAATTTCTTGAATATGTAGTTTCCAAGAAAAAGCAAGGCCTAAAAGTTCTGCCCAAAAATTCTGAGCAGGCAGTGCAGAACCAATAACATAATCAAAACTACTCACAAAATGTCTCTGTCAATAAGTCTGAAATGACGAGGCATCACCATCTGGAATCAATTGCCTTGGGGTGGAGAAAGAAATATTCTTTCAAGGTCACTGTAATGAAGCAGGACCAGAGGGTAGAACCAACTCCTGAAACAGGCAGAGCCTGTACTGTGATAGGAAAGGTGAAGGAAGGTAAAGAAAGTGGACCATCTTGTGCCAGAAATAAAGTGAACAATGCAAGAAGTTGTATTCTAGCCCAGCCATAAACTCTCTAAACTATGGCAGACCGAAAACCTCCCCTACACTTACGCACTGGGTTTCTGACACACAAGCCAAAGAGGAGCATATTATTACTCTGAGGAATTCCCTGGGAACACACACACCATACAGGGAGCAGGTGCATCTATTTTGTGCCTGGCACAAAGTAGATTCTACATCATTTATTAAATCAGTGGATAGATGGATGGATGGGTGATGGATGGATGGATGGATGGATAGATGGACAGATGAGTTGCTTTTTATTGAGCTACCCCTATCACTCGGACACTTCTCTCATTCCTTTTTAAATTAACACTAACTATGTGAAAAGGCCCTCAGACTTTAGTCCTTACTTTGGGAAGCTGCTGAGAAAGGTCACCCCCACAGGGTAGATGTTGATATGGTGAATGTTACACTCTAGGTGTATGCGCACTGTGGAGGTGAAGCTCGTGGCTAACCCCAGGGGAAGTCCAAATTGATCTCTGAAGTGTGAATTGCTGCAATTGTCATCATTTTACTTCCTCTACTTTAAAATTTTAAATATAAATTCAGGAATGGAAGTGCAGTTCTATACCCTGACCATTCTGGCAGTGGGGGGAGCAGAAGGATTGCAATTTCAAACCCAGCCTGGCCAGTTCAGGAATTTAATGAGACCCTGTCTCAAACATAAAAGATGAAAGAGCTGGGGATACAGCTCAGTGTGTAGCCGGGGCCATGCCCAGCACTACAAAAATAAATATAGTCCTTCTATGCTATTATGGACTTTTCTATTCTCCTTTCTTTATTTAAAAGAAAAGTAAATGAAAATTTTATGGTGATTCAGTGTGAATTCAGATTCAGATCATGCATATAAAGATCAACTTTGCATCTATGGAAATGATCCTCGCTTCACTTCTCTATTTTATTAATGTGCTGAATTGTATTGATTGACTTCCAAACATGAAGCCAGCTCTGCATTTCTGAGATGTCTACCACTGTTCATACAATGTTGCATTGAATTTGCTGATGTACTATTAAATATTTAATATCTTTGCTCACACAGGCTGTGGGCCTACAGTTCTTTCTTTCTCTTTTGATTCTATTTGTTTTGGTTTCTGGTTTGCTGCTACTGCTGCTGTTCTTATTGTTGTTTCTGTTACAGACCTTTGACAGGTTTTTGCATCAGGGCGGCATTGCCCTCAGAAGACAGGTTGGGAACTAGTCTTTTTCACCTTTGTTTTTGGAAACAGGGTGTGTAAGGTGAGAATTTCTCCCTCAAATATTTGCTCAAATGTACCACTGACACCATCTGGACTTTCATTAGAGATAAAAACCAACTTAACATCATCCTTTACTCTGTTCTGTGGGCCTGAGACAATGTGCAGCCCATGGTTTATCCTGGTATCTCATTTAATGCTTCTGAGCCACTTTTATTGAATAGGGATGGATGATGGGCATGAACAATAAATAATAAAACCAAAAGCTGGCATGATACTCACAGGAAAACATTCCGTTTCTTCTATTGGATGATAGATGACCTGATTGTACAAGACAAGCTGAAGCCTGCTTAGATCATCGAGATCCCACTTCAGCTAGCCAAGGCTTGGGGATCAACACTCGCCATCTGTCCAAGAGTCACTCAGCTCAATTTGTCTTTTCTATTCCTGGCACTCGTGATTACTGAGCAGCCTTCTACGCTCCAGCAAAAATAAGACATCATTGAATGTGCCAAGACATTGAAATTGTTGGACAAAATAAAAACTACCAAAAGCAGTAAGATTTGGATTATTGCACAAAATTTTTGTTTTAATCTCCACATTCCCCAACCCAAGTTAGATTTTCAGAACTCTGTTCCACTCATCCGTGTATGCGCAGGGATGCTTCCACACATATTTGTGTGTGTACATATACTCTCTTGTCATTTGTGTTTTTCCATTCTCTATTATAATTCTCAACAAAAAAATACATTTGTTCCACCTGAAGGCTGATGGATGATTAAAACAGCTTATTTGAATATGACAATAACCATTCACACATGTTCATATTAAAGGGTCATAAAAGGAATATGGCTGAATTATAATGAATGAACTAAAACATATTCAGTTCACTTGTCGGTTGCATACTTTTTCCAGTGAGTTTACGTTCTCAGTGTGTGCAAAGCACCATCCGTTTAGGACTGCCTACAGCAGCTGTGTCCCACGCTTCCCTTAGTCCCCTGAAAGATACTTGAGTTTCCATGAACGGATGAAAGTCATAAACAGGCCCTGAGGATCAGTATTCAGGCTTTCTCAAGAGGCTGAAATGGGTGGGGTAGAAGACATTCACCGGCTCTCTAGCTCTCCATCAAGTCTCACTAAAGGAAGCATCGTTAGAATTTTGAAGACAAAGAAGAAAGTAAGCTTGGAGATGTGATTGCCTTCCTTTCAAGTCCGCAGGTCCAGCATTCCACCAGCAGCTCACTCTCTGTACCCTTCTCAGACTCACGGAAAAGAAGGGCTGCTCCCCATCATTTGTGGTTTCCCATCATCCTTTCCACATCTTTTGTAAATAATTCACTAAAAGTTAGTTACACACACACACACACACACACACTGTATATATACATATACATATGCATATACATATACATATGCATATATATATATATATGAATGGGTGACATGCCTGCTGCCCAAGTTCTGACTGAAAAAGAAGTCAAATCTGCTGAACAAGGTGGATGGTTAAATTGGGTAGTACACATTTCATTCAAAAGGCAGACTATACAATTTCACGAATAATTTTAGCACTGCCCCTTCCCTGGTTTTGAAATTCATCCCAAAACTGTTTAATGGAGGCATACTGTCATCCATAGTCTCTACAGACAGCTACTTTAGTGGAGCCTCTGTTCATTCAGTTACTAAAACTCTGTACTTGAGTTGTTTTGATATCTCAAGATTTTATTATACCTGCTTATGTATTTCTTTCTGTAGAAGAATAGATACTTTGAAATTTCTGAGCGCAAAATCAAATTTTTAGAGTATCAGGTCTAGATAAGAAAAAACAGGAGACAGCTTATTGGAGAAAAAAAAGAAAATTTTACTTGAGGATAGTTTTGACATGATGAGACATTGGAAAAGAAATAAAATTGTTTCCAAAAACATACTTCATTAAATAGACATATGTAAAATTATTTTCATGTTGTGAGGGGCAAGTTGTCTATGATTTTAGCCCTAAAATATGCATATGCTAGGAAAATCATTTATTTCCTGAGCTTCTCTAACAACCAGTTTTCTTTTTTAGAATATTAATATTTAAGACAAAAACTTGAAACCAAAGCTGGTGGTTAGGTCTCTACTTAATTTCATAAAGCTGGTGTTAAGCTTGTCTCTTTCATTTTTCTGTACATAACGTACTACATTAAGATGTTATTGTAACTTGAAAATACATGATGAACATTTTGAAAGTTCTCAATGTTTTTAATTTAGATTTGTACAATCATAGAAATAAAGATGGAAAAACTGGAATTCTTCCTGTTATATGAACCATAGTCCTTAGTTCAGATTTAGTGCTCTTTTTCTGATTAATGAAGCGAACAGGAAAAGGCTCTAAGTAAATTGTTCTGTAATTTTGGGATTTCTAGATTAGCATTATCTCTTGAACAGGGCTCCATTCCTCTGGTAATTCACTCTGGAGTTCTGATAGAACACATCTTTTTCTCTTGGTGTCACACTAGTTGATAGTGGCCATATCTATCAACTGCAGTATTCGAACAAATGATATGATTATAGTTAACTATAACATCAAGATTGGCCTAGAAAAAGACACAGACATGGAACCCTCTGGCCCACTTTTGGCGGGGGCGTGCAGGCTATGGAAACAATGAAATTCAGTCTTTCACTTAGCTAAATTTCATTCATTTATATGGTGAAATATTGACAACACGAAATTCCATGTAGGTGGAATTTTGTATTAATATTTAACTTATTTTATCTATCCATAATGTAATGATTCCTTCTTTTTCTCACACAAGAGGAAAACAGTTATTTAAATACTATGCCTTTGGAAATCCTCTTACTGCTGCTTTTTAAAGTATAACTCCATTTTAGCTGAGAACTTGGTAAATCATCTAGTTTCTAACTTTATTTTACATGTAAGGAAGGAAACTAAGCCTGAAGAGTAATTCATCATTATCCCTTTTAAATTTTCTGCTAGTATTTATTAACAAGATACACTTTACTTTTGAAAATAGCATTTGAAAAAGAATATGATCTATTTCCAAACAGGTTTAGAAAGTTTAGCTTTAGTTTTATTTAGAAAGTTTACTTTAGTTTTATTTAGAAAGTTTAGTTTAGTTTAGTTTTAGAAATATTTTAAAATTCTGTTAAAGGATTTTATTTATCTTAATCAGTTATTTCAAAACTAAACATGGTTGACACTGCCTCCCTCAATGGAAATAAACTGAGAGGAGACCAAACCCTTATCACACGCTATGGTGGCTCGCTGTGTATGTTACATACCTTCCCTACCATCTTAAATCTTCCTTTCTTTCTCCCAGTATGCCTACCCTCCTGTCTTCCATGCAGTCAAGTACATTGATCGATAGATAGAACGCACTGGTACCTCAGAACCCACAAGTCTCTAATCCAATTAACTAAGGAGTAATGTCAACAATGTTGGCTTGACAAGAGATATGTTACTACTTGTTTTGCTTTACTATGTAAATGAATTGATTGATCTTAGTGGAAATGATCCAAAATATATCTGTAGAAAATGTAATATAGATTAAAAGAAAGCACATAATTAGGTACAGGGAGGACATCACTAAATCTTAACTGTGCTTTTTGATTGGTCACAGTTGTGTTGAGAGCCCAGCCTAAGATAAAAACCTGTGACCAATAGGTACACTATAGCAGGTAAAACATTTCCATTTCATCTCAAGCTATAAAACTCACAAGCAGGGAGTAATTTTTTCTCTTCAGTAAGAAAAACTGAAAAAGAATAGTTTTAATGCAATAGATTTATCATTAGTTATAAATGCCTCCTCCATTATATATAGATTACTTACAGCTCATTTGACATTTATTGTTCTGCTTCTTTGTTAATAAAAATAGTAGTTTCCACCATAAAAACTTCTATTTGTCTAAAATGTTAATTAGTTGAAACCTAAAAATGTTTCCCCTTGTAATACTTATCTGACATCCCTTGGAAAGAATTTTTAACCAATCGAAAAAAAAATTAAGTTTTCACTCCAGAACATTTTAACTCCATTTGGCCAGGTCAGTAGGTTTGGAATTTGGCAGTGTCTGTGAATTTGTTTAATTTTATTTCACTTTGAAACTTTGCTGAATGAGTAGAACAAGCTGAAGGAATCAGAGAATGATTGATTATAGGAATATTTTAAAATATTGCCTGAAATATGGAAAAAAAAACATCAGAGAATAAAAGAGTTGAAAGACAAGGAGACTCAGTGCCTGCATGAGGTTTTGGGTTCAATTCCTGATAGAGAGAGAGAGAGAGACAGACAGACAGACAGACAGACAGAGACAGACAGAGACAGAGAGAGACATACAGAGAGACAGAGAGAGACAGAGAAACACAAGAGAAGATAAGACAAGACAAGGAAAGTATTCAGCTGATTTACCTGAATTTTAGAAAGGCAGGTGCTAACAAAGTGTACGGAATGAAAATAAAAGGCCCAAAACAATCATCTCATGCATATGACTGATATTTCTTTTCTGTAGAATATAGTCAATATTTAGATGACTTTGCTAAAGGGATATTTATTAATAAAAATATAAACTAGAAAAATATAAATATTAAATATTAAAATAAATTGAATATCAAAAAATTAATAGAGTGAAATAAGTTTAAAGGACTTATAGAAACCATCTCATTCTCTGATTACAAATGAATGCGTTTCTGCATCATCTGAGATGTGCAGCCATTTACTCTCTCAATGGACATCTTCCTTTCCAAGGTTGGTGTAGCTGTCGTTGTACTCTAAAGCAGAGTCAAGGGTGGGAGAGTGCAAAAGGGCTGGCTGTGTATACACTGGAGAGCCAAAGGATCCAGTCACAAGCCAAAGGCACTGACCTTGCTAGCGAGTCCTGTGCAGGTCTGTTTCAGGAGGCCAGAGGGTTGGGGATGGAAGGCAAGGAACAGTCCGCGGTGAAGGCCAAAACTGGAGCTCCTGTGAAGAAACAGGAGTGGGTCTTCCTTCTTCCTTATCCTTTTCATTCAGTTCAGGCTGAGTACATTGGCTGGTGGACTCACACCCAGAGTGGGTTTTGCATCTTCAGTAAATCCATTTAATCTCCCCCAGAGCTATGCTAAACCACTCAGTTGGGCATTTCTTATCAAACCGACGCTACAGTTACTATCACAGTTGGTTTCTCAAGGGAGTCTTGAACCTCACAATTCATGAACAGGATGTTCAAGAAGAAGATGGTACACAAGAAAGATCACTGTCCTGTGGGCACATTCAAGGTCACATAAACGTAGGCAAAGTCACTGTTCTGACATATAAAATATGTGATGCATTTTGATTTGAATTTCCACCTAGACACCTTTGGGGCAAATGCCTATTGACTCTGGGGAAGGAGGTTCCCCCCAAGCCCAGGCTTTACAAAGATTTAACCCATTAAGCACAGGACATGAACAGTGTCAGAGACCACCACCAGTAGCTAATGCACATCAAATCCCCTTCATTGTCCTTCAGTGACAGGTCAAAGATGTAAAACACACAAAAGTGAAAGATAAGTGCTTTTCTAGGGTTATTTTTGGGATTACCCTATAGGATGGAGGGCACTCAGCTTTGCAAAGTGACTCCCCAAGGAATTGCTGAAGAAGCCTTCATTCTGTTTTAGCTCAACATGCCCATTTTTGGAGGCCCACCGTGTCACAAGCTTTGTAAAATGGTTCAAGGCTCAAAGAGGAAGGAGACAAAGGAAGGGCAAGAGGAAAAGTTTTTCCCAAGAGATGAAGTGGAAATCAGACACACCTGCACTGTTTCTGCTATCCCAGGATGGGCTTTGATAACGAGATCATAATGGCTGATTCCATGCTAGCCAAAGCCCCTCAACTGACACTAGCCCCCCTTCCTGCTGTACCCAATCCATGGTACTGTAGCTCTTTCCCAAAAGTTGAGGAGGCCAACAACAGATTCTCAAAACTATGCCTTGGAAATTTCCTACAGAAAAACAGAGAAATTTTAACCAAGTAATAAGCAAATAGAGGTGTGAAGTCTGCAATAGGCTTTCAAAGTGGTTCTAAATCTGAACTTAGGAAAGGGATACAGAGTAAGAAAGAGAAGAGGGAGCAGGCTCCTCCAAAAGCACAAAATAATAGCTACTAAGCAGCCACAAAGCTCTAGAGTTGTGATGTTCACCTTATGTAAACACTGTGGAAATTCATAGGTCAAGGAATGTTGCATCCCAATTTGTGGAATTGCCAACTGAGTTTGCCTTCCTTGAAGTACCTCAGGCATCAAAAGTTCATGTCCAAAACTATATACACTGTTTTAAAATTCCAACATGAGAAAATATAATTCAGGCTTATTCTAAGGTCTCTGCAAGTGTGAAGGCAAGAGAACTAATTCATCGTGAACATGAAGAAAAACTGCACCCACAAGGTCAACCTTGAGCCATGCGAGAGAAGTGAGCAGGTGCTCCCAAGGTGTATGCATGCAGGAAGAACATTCCAGACACAATCCAGGTCTGGGAGCACAGGGTACATTCAGGGCAAGCAGGCAGGCAGGGTAGGAAATGGTTTAAGACTTCAAAGAATGTGGTAGATATAAAAGGAGGTGGGTGATAGGAGATGAAATGAGAGAAAATGGGCCAAATTATTTTTAAAAGTTATTAAATTTAAACTGCATTTAATAATCATTGGGCAATTGCTGAAAGATCAAAGAAGGAGAATAACATAGTTTTGTCTGTGTTTCTAAGAGAACTCTTGGAAGAGTTGGAGAGGGCAGAAGGACCAGACTACAGCGACTGCATCCCATGGGAGAGACATGAACAGATGGAGAGATAAGAAGGTGGACATTATGGAAATCCATAGGGCATTCACCAGAGAGATGAAGCAGGGGGAAGAATTAAGTATAACTCTCATAATTCAATTTTCTGAGGTCAACTGAACAATGATCCAAGTAGCCACGATCCCAAGCAGAAGGAAAGTAGCAAGCTTTGTGGTGAGACAGGAGGCAATGAGAATTCTTTAGACACGCTGACATCTCAGTGGGTCCCTTTGGTGAAAAGGCCAAGAAGATTGAAGAAGGAGATCTGGAGCCCAGAAGAAAGGTCTAGCAGAGGTGCAGATGTGCGGTCCCAGCCTGGTCATGCTTAGTGATGGGAACGATAAGCAGTTCTGAGTGAGGTGAAGACAGAACTCTGGGAGCAAAAACAGATGGTAGCAGTGCCCCTAGGACCAGTGTGTATACAAAGCCACCTCCTCATCCATGGGAAGCTGGTCTATGTGGAGGGCACCATGGTCCCAACAGAAGGACCCACTAGTCATTCTAGGATGAGGCACGCAGAACCTAGGTCCTGGCAGAAGTCATTTTCACAGCATCACTCTCAGCAAGTAAGAACACTCAGATCAATGGCTTCCCCTGGGACTCTGGGGGAAGGGATGCCACCATCACCATACCCCAGAGTAAAGGACAAAGTCCTTGGAACAGAAACAGAGACTAAAAATCAATGAAGTAGATTACAGTGAGTGGTGACATGCGCAAGGTACTGTATGCATTAACCTGTACTGCGCACAATTCACTATTCGCAGTTACCTACTAAACATGTCCTGTACCCCAGAGATCAGTACTGCCTGTGCTTATCACCCATGGACATGGATGGAGTGGCAAAAATGCTGAGTCCCCAGTGTGCGCATTCCCAGCTGAGGAACAAGCCGATGCCCTGCTCCTTGTTTCAGCTCTTGTCTTCCAAACCACTCCCCTTTCACAGGCCATTGGGTGCTGGTTTTCCACATAGGTGCTTTTTGCTATGTAAGATAGTCCCTGTGTACAGTGAAAAGTGTTCCTCAGTTTTCCTAATACAGAAAGCTATGATGTCCCTCCCCAAAATAAAAAGCTAGAGAAGCTTCATTCAGGCATAAATTACAGTGTTATTGATCATGAGTTCAGTGTCAATGAATCTCTGTGAGCAATGGTTCATTGCTTGTGGCAGCCTTGAGAAACAACACTACCACAAGTTTAAGAACTGATGGTATAAACAAAGGTAGGAGTCGACCAAGAACCAATTAGTACTAAACAAAAGTCCTTATTTACTTAAAGTGGTTCATAAAGACTCCAAGGTTGATTTAACTTTCATTTGGGTTTCTCAGGTCAAATAAGAAATAATATCTCTTTGTCCTCTCTCTCTCAAGCTGACTGCAGTCAGTGACCATGAGCTGAATATGGAAAAGTACATCAATGAGTGTTCAGGGACTTACCCTGCTATATGCTTGCTCTGTCTTCATTATTATGACTTGTGTTTAGATGTCCCCCAAAGCCTCACATTTTAGGTGTTTTTTTTTTTTTTCAGAAATGATTGAATCTAGAGTGTGTGACTGACGCATGATGCAATGCTAATACTAAGGGTAGGATTAAAGGTGAGTGATTACTAAGTCACTCCACTGATTAGTTTGGCACCATGTTAATCCTGGTAGCCTCGAATGAATATAAAAGGGGGGAAAAGTTGCTAAAGTCTTGCTTGCTTGTTTTGCTGCCTTCTGCCTGTTATGAACTGTTTCTCCTCCAAGAAGCTTGTCTGCCAAGCGATCCTGCTTTGAAACCAGCCAATGATGGACTGAAACCTCTACAAATTGTGAGCTAAATAAACCTTTTCTTTCTTAGCTCATGGATATTGGATATTTTGTCTCAGTGTTGTAGAAATCTGGTACCAAATCAAAAGGAAGAGACCTTACACCAAGGATCTGGAATTCAAACTATTATGCCAGCAGGCTGGCAGGAAGACCAGTTCCAAATCACCAGACCTGAGTTAGCTTTGGGTTTAGTTTATATAGTATTTGCAACCAGGAAGTACATAAACTGATAGCAAGTTATTATATAATTCATTCCATGATTCAAGTCATATGTTGTCAGGCAGATTTGTTTTAGGCAGGTTTACTTAAAAGGAATTGTTCAACAGGAAAATTCAAGTGAGGAGCGGTGGATATTGAAGGTAGTTAAATGTGTCCTTGCCTGGGCCAGTCTGTCCTAGGTAGAAAGTCCTTGAAACATGTTGGAAAAACAGGATATATTTTTAGATGGGGAAATACAGATATTGCCCCTGGACATGGGTCAGGTTGACCTGGTGGCTATCTGTGAGAAGCAGCTGGACACAGACGGCTGAGGCTGACTGGGTTTAGCAGTCTTAACTAGGTGACAGGCAAGATGTGCTCAGTCCATCTCAATGTAGCAACAGGCTGCTAGTTGATTCAATAAATTTCCACTAATTTTGTATTACATCAGCAAGGAGAAAAGCAACTAAGACAACCCTGGATAAGCATTAGCCCTCTCCAAATTCTCCTCCTCTCAACAATGAGATGACACAATGACTCCACATGGTCTTCATGTTAGACTCCTGGCACTCCATGATTCTGTAACAAGCCCCAAAGGAAGGTTCAGTTGCCATCAGTTATGACTTTTGGACTCTGAAAGGCCTAGGAAGAAGTATTTTCCAGATGTGTATTTACTGTGTTTTCTAGAGCAGATCCATTCGATTATCACTTTAATTCTGGGCAATGGGATAACAGGACCCCAAATACACAGTTCAGTAAAAGTAATAAAGCTCCAGGGTTCTTTAGCACAGTGAAAAGACTGCCACTTAAAATCTCCTCTGATTTATTTTATGAATAACTGAAAGACAGGAGCTTGAAAATCCAAACACAAAGTAGTATCAATGAGATTTTGAAACATTCATTACCTTGCGATTTCTTCAGTACACATTGCATGCATGTATTGAAATGACGCGCTATATTCCATAAATTTGTACAATTATCACTTACTAATTTTAAAAATGATTATTAAGGAGAGGAAAATGTTAACTGCATTGTTTTGACACTGTATCCAACAAATTTAGAAAATAAAAATAAAATACATTAAAAAGGCAAAAAGAATTCTGGGGACGTCTGTCATTAACTTCAATGACAGGGAAGAATCCAAAGGAAAACTATAAAACTGACAAAGTCAAATATCCTCAATCATCTCAAACTTAGTGGGATTAAAAATAGAAAGAGTGTCTAACTGTGATGATTTAAAGCAAATGGCTCGAGCGAGGGAAGCTGAAGCCCATCCATGCCTTTGCCAGGCTACTCTGAGGCTCCAGGGCTATGCTTGGTCTCTCTGGAGGACCCCAATGGCTCTTCCCAATGATTGCGTGCTCCATTAAGCTCTTGGCAAAGGACTGGTTGGACATGTGTGGCCCAGACGTTTCCATGGAAGGTCTTTCCAGATGGAATCCTCACCGTAAGAATGTGCGCAGGATTAAGATGTAATCTGTCATTTCAAAGAGTACAACAATGCCTGAAATAAAAATTCCAGTTGAGTTTTTTCTGAAGAACTCTTTAACAGCAGAGGATATGTTCACAAATGGAGTGCTTTATTTAACAAAAGATATTTCCCTTCCATCTACATTATCAAAGGGCAATCAGGTAGCAATGGAAAAGTCTGAAAAGATAAAACACATTCAGACACACACACACACACACACACACACACACACACACACACACGAAATGCACCTTGCTTTAGCTCTTTCTTTAGCCAATGGTGAAATCATCATAGCTCCAAGCAGGCTAATGCCTGACATCCATGAGGATCCAACCTCTTTCCCTTTCCTGGTTCCATCCTGCAGCCGGGGAGGTCTTGTGCCCAGTCAAACCCCAGCACACAGACAGACCTACAGAGGAAGCCATTGCAGGCCTGACTGTGGCTCAGAATCCCTGGAAGAGTGCAGCCTCCAGAACCTCCTTAATTCTCCAGCACAGGGCAGCGGAATTGGCACATGTGGGCCTCCCTCAAGAAACCATTTTATTCTCCATTAAACAATGCATATGTCTTTGCATGGATTCTCTAAACTCTCTACCTACTCAAATGCCTCAGCACATCACAAACTGTCCTCCTGAAAGACTGAAAACACAATGTGGGGGTTGTAATGTCCATAGTAGACCTATAAATTTGTGAAAGCTCATAGAGCCAGACTTTGGGGAATAAGAGTAAGGTCTCTCCTATACGAAGCAACTGTTGACCTAAAATAAATAAAATTAGTATTTTGTTGAGAAGCAACTGTATGCATTTATTCACATTTCTGAAATATGGAAATACATAAGCATGGCTCTGTCCCCCTTTCATACAGCCATGGAGCCAAGGCAACTACCCAGCACCATTCATCCTGGGCAGCTGGGAGTTCCTGGCATCTTGTGGGTTATCGATAAATATTTGTTAAACAAATAAATTTAAATCACTCTTTTGATCTGTAGAACCCCAGGGTCTTTGCTCTAAACAGCTGGTTTAATTCCAAAACCCACAAAATAAAATAAACCTACACTCCTTATCCCATATATCTTTCTGGGACTGCCAATGTCTTTAACAGGAGGAAATACCAAATTCTGCAGCACTGTTTGCTCAGCTATGCAGCTATTCTTGTGGTGAGGACATAATTTACTCATAGAGAGTTCTTCAGAAGCTATGTGAGCTTTCCATTTTGGCTTTGGACAACTGGCTGGGCCCTGACAGCAGCAGCTATAAGCAGACAAATCTTAGACAGGAAGGCAGCAGTGGAAGAGGAGACCCAGCCATCCCCACACCTTAGGGCAACTTCATGACACACAGAAGTGTCCTGGAACATGGCTTGGAAGCACCCAAGACTTGAGGCCTTCAGGTGATGCTACTTTGCTCTTGTCCTCTCCTCGTTCCTCACCCTCCCAGCCCTGATCACAATTCACTCTACCAGGCAAGTGCAGGACAGACATGAGGGTCCTCAACAACACATCATACAGTGGGCAATGATGGGAAGTTCAGCTCATTTAGTTTATTCTTCTAAAGATAAAAATTCCTGCATTTAGATAACTTTTGGGGGGGTACCAGGGATCAAACTCACAAGCTCACACTTGCCAGGCAGGTGCCTGTGCCATGGGGCCAAATCCGTGGCCCCACATTTAGATAACTTTTAACTGACACTTATCTCACAACTCAACAAAAATGTATCAGAAACTGCAAACTTAAAGGCCTAGAGTGATGCTGGGGTTGTGCTATGTTAAAAGCAAGGGACAGAGTTACATGTGCAGCACACCCTGCCCTGCTGTTCAGTCCACACAGACAAGTTTGGACCGCTGTGAGCAAAGGGTGTCTTCCTGCTGCACTGGGCCCTTCTCTGTGTCCCTGGCTGTCCCCACCACCCTGCCACCAAAGGTCGATGATGGCCTGGTGCCCTGATGGGCCAGTCATTGCAATTTCTTCCTATCGTTGCCAATCACGATACTGATTGTTGTAACTGATGTGTGTTGTGTGTTGTGTGTTGGTGTGTATGTGTGAGAGAGACAGGAATACACCAAAATGCACTGCAGTGACGCCATGAGTTATACTGAGAATTACTATGTTGGAATTGGAGTTATTATGAGTGATCTTAGTGTTATCACGGATTTCTACACTAAACGCATATATCCTCTACAGCCTGAGAAGAGCAATAATGTTTCTGAGAAGGGGCCATTCTCAAGGAAAAATAAATCACCCCACTATTCACTCATACTTAATTCACTCTTAGTAGCAATTTATTAAATCTGATACACACTGAATTCAACAAAACACCTCTGGCCTCTACTGTGAACTGGAATATCAAGTATATAAAACACAATCCCTGCCTGGGAGTTCACAGTGCAGCTGGGTGGTGAGACTCACTCACAGGCACCTGTGCACATGTGTGCGCACACAGACACCCCACCTTTCCCATCTTTGCTCAGACACTATGGTCGGAAAGAGGCCTAACCTGCCCCACCCTGCTGCCCTGTTTAATTCTGCAGTCCACCTCCACTCAGCCCCCTAGCATCTCTAACCCAGCTCAGCTCTTTTTTTATCCATTACCTCTTAGCCCCTGCTTGAAGCACCTGCATTAGCAGTACAAGACAGGGTGGCTACACCTCCCTATTGAAGCCACAGGCTGTCAAAGGAGGAGAAAGGATCAGGAAGCTAGAGAGTTCCAGAAAGTACTGCGGAGGAAGCAGAACAGAAGGAGGAGGGGCAAAGAGTATGCCACGCCTGACAGAATTGACTTACCTAACTCTCAAACACTGAGTCCTGAGAGACAGGTAGGAGCACGAAGCGCAAGCTGACTTCCTTTAATGGACGGTCGCATCTGTCAGAGTCACTATCTCACTGGGCCTTACAATTTCAGTCTGGGAAAACACAGTCTCTTTGTTCTAACCATGATGCATTCAGGTTCTCTAATCCACAGTCACCCTGCGCTGGAGATAGGATTCCACAGGTGTCACTTTGTGACCTCAGTTTCCTTAACTGTAAAGCAAGAACAATGACAGAGTCCGCCATCGGGGACTGCAGGAGAGGGTGAGGGTGACACAGAGCACACCTCCCAGCAGTGGGTAGCTGGGCTGAGCAGAAAGAACAGACAGACCCATGGGGCTGGGGCAGCCTGTACCCCAGCACCTCCCCCTGCCCGCGGTCTCCCCCTGCTCCCACATACCTGCCGCTTCTCAGTTCCTCAGTGTGTAAAGGAGCACTGGGACCCACCCCAGCCCCAGGAAACTTTCCTTTGCTTCGCAGGTCCTTGTAATTTCAGGGTACATGTTTTACAGATGCTGACAGAACAAGCAATGAAAGTCAAGGAATCCAGATGCTCGGAGGTGAAGATGTCCTCAGGATCCCAGGGACATGCAGGAGACCGTCTACCTATGGCTGCTCTCCTCCTGCCCCTAGATTTGCACAACACCCCTGGAACTGCTCAGCATGTGGGAAGAACATCCATGGTGACAGTGCTGGCTGCAGGCATCCAGGAAGCCATCAGAAGTCATTCATCTAGGAAGGGAGCATAAGCCCCCTTAATCACATCAAGGGTCGGGGGTTGGAAGAGTTGGGGCACTCTTAAGAAGCAGTTTAAGGCCATCCAAAAGATAGTGGTGGTCTTTTCAAGAGCTCACCTTGACCCTGACCTCTAAGCTCGGTGTGATCCTAATCAAGATGCCACTCCTCAGCAGTCTCCAGAGACAGCGCGACAGGAGTTCCACAGATTCCCTGAATTAGCTTCCTCCCTCTGGGACCTAAAATATCAGCTATATTTTTTGTTCCTAAGGGAAGAGAAGTTTGTGGTGTTGGACCACATGTGTTAGCATCTTCTCTGTGCTGAACCTAGCTGACCTAGATCCCTCAGTTCCTGAGACCTTTGCATCCCACCGCATCCCAGCAGGTCACGTGGAAATTCGATTTTTCTCCAGGCCTCACCTAGAGCCCAGGCAGCACTCCGTTTAGTCATTGTACTGGGAACATTCGCCTCACCTGCATCTATCCTCTCCCACCAGGACAAAAATTCAAAACTCTTATGTACCCACACTTAGAAGAAATCATTCTAATCTTCTGTCTCTATAACCAAATGTGTTTTTAACTCAATTCTGAATAAATTCTCTTCTCCAAGCACTCTGAAATCTATCTAAAACAGAACCACATCTAGCATCCTAATGATTAATCTGAGACTCAACTAAAAGGTTTTAAAACTGTTCCCTGAACCAAATGTGTGGAGAAACAGCTCTTCACGTCATCTGAGTACAGCAGCTGTGAAACAGCCTCATGTCATATGCTTCTTTGGGGACAGGGTGGGGCAGGAGGATCTGAAAACAATTTGATATTACCAGAGTGAAAAGTTCAAGAAGTGGTGGAAGATGAAACCCCTTGTCAAAGTTCGGTCAATGGCCTGGAATAAATCAGACTAGAATCAGTGGTCTTGGCCCCAGTGAGGTAATGTCAGAAAAAGGTCACAAGGCAGCCAAAACCAGACAGACAAGAGTTCTGAAGCTGAGCAAGAACACAGGCATTTTAAAATAAAATTAAGTTAAATTAAGAAAAAAAAAAAAAAAAAGAACCCAAGCAGGTCATGCAGAACCTCAACTGAGACAGGGCTCGAGAGCAGGATTAGCAAGAAAGTGGAAAAGGAGAGAATAACATTAAGAAAGTAGATTTTAAAGAAGGAACCAGGCCGGGGAGATAGCTCAGGGGCACAGTGCCTGCCTGGCAAGTATGAGGCCCTGAGTTGAGTCCCAATACTAAAATAAAATCAAAAGAAAGAGCCAGTATTCAAGAAAACTTGGAATCACAGAAAGTTCTCTAATTGATAAAAATATGAGAACTGATTGGCTTGGCCAGGCCAGGGGTTCACAGGCGGTAGCTGTGTCTGACGGCTGAAGATCTGGCCTTGACTGAGCTTCCATAGCCATTCAACTCCTGAACATAGTACCTGCTCTCTAACTGTGGTCTTTAAACAATGAGTGGACGAGTTTTTGCAGAGCTGAGCTTTGGGGTTGCTGGCGCTAATGTGCACCATGTGTTACTCAGATAAGGGTCCTCATGAAGACAGTGTCTCAAAGAAATGCTGTTGATTTAGTTCCCCCCCCCCTCCTTTGGCTATTAGACTCTGGACTCCAACATTTGGGTAAATATCACCTGGTATTGCTTGCTAATTTACTGGAGGGGCCATTTAGGTCCAAAATTAACAGGTGACTCAATGATGCTTCAAGGACAGCTTGCACTCTAACACCCGAGGCCCTGTGTACCAGCATGGTGTCTACAACCAGGGTCGTGATGCAGCCTCTGGCTTGTGTTCACTGAGGAGCAGCTGACAGAGCAGCTGCAGCATCTTCAGCGTCCTTTTGGGATCCCCCACAGTACTGCCCTAGAACCTGGTTTTCCTTCAACAATTACCTTTCTGGAAGCATATTTCAGATCAAGTCTCTTACCACTCAGTACCAAGACAGTGATCTCCCACCATCAACTGAATAAAATCCTTGTCCTGGCATCTCTTTCACCTTATTTCCCAGTATCCCCATGTTGGCATCCCTCATGCTAGCCAAGAAGAGCGAGGTATTGTTTGCATCCTTGTCTCACGCTTTTGCACTTTTAAGCTTTCCTCAAGCATTTCCCCATCCTGAGATGTCCTTTTCTCATTTCTGCTCTCCAGCTTTAAACCCCAGCTATCTTCGGATCATAGACTCATCTCCCCTAACTGCTGCTCCTTCCAAGAGGCACCATCCACCGCCCTGTGATCTGAAGCTCTATTCCAGCAAGTGCTTTCTACCCACTGCCTGTAGGACAGAAGCTCCTACTCAACCCAATCCCATTTAATTTTGAGTAAATCTGCAGATGATAAACACTCTCAAGAAGCACTTGAAAATGAGCAAACTGCTGAAATGAGGGGCAGAGAATACATTTTCCCCGTACCTTACAAGTGATGACTTAGGGACATGTTTCAGGGACCACAAAGGTCTTTGCATAAAACTTAAAAAAATATTTTGTCCAGATACAGGCAGGGTGAGACCATGAAGCGACAACAGCAGAGAGCTTGGGGAGCGATAAAACTGTTCTGCAGCCCGACTGCCACGGTGATCACAGGAGCCCATGCATGTGTTAAACTACGCAGCACAGAACACCAGAAACACGAGAAAGTCACCTTTATTGTATAGGAATGTTTTTAGTTATTAAGTGTTCCACCAGAGAAGTGAAATGTGCATTCCTGGTTAGCCCTTATTTTGTGACAATGGCCATCAGCCACCATGTAAAGAAAGCCTCAGCTTTCCCCTCGCCCAGCTCTCAGGAGATCACGGTATGGGTTGTGTGCTGGGAGTGAGAAGAGGGAACTATGGGGAATAAAATGTCCCAGGCTGAACAATACTGCACAGTGTGAAAGCTCTAGCCTTCAGTCTATGTAGTACCAGGCTTAATTTGCAATTTCCTTTCTTGCATACCTTAAAACAAGACCTTAATATAAATATAACATGCAGATTTTACATATGGCTTTTCTTTACCTAACCTAGGCCTTTATATTTATTTTCATGCATTACTTTTTATCTAATTAGTTTAGTTATTCAACTAAATCTGGTTGCAGGTGAACAGGCAACTTGCTTCAGAGCCATAAAACTATGCATGCTTTTCGTGTTACTAGAACTTTCCGAAGTTTGCTGTGATTTCATCATGGGTGACATACCTCATCAGGGTAATAGCTCACTTATGTATTAGGAGAGATCTGATGATTATAGTAAAACCTAACTGTGTGCACCATAAATTTCCTAGCATGCTATCTTTTCATTGTTTCTTTATATTAATCTAATTTCCATCCTCACCTAATCCTGTAACAATTCTAATTGAAATTTTCAAGGGGCAGTTAAAATCTAGGCGCAAGCAAGAAAGGATTTCAGTGAGTTCTTAATGGAACCCAGAGACCTGCCAAATTTAAAAGCTGCCTAATTCCTAGCCAAGTTATAAAAGATTTTCAACAGGGAACAGGTACAACCTCATTTCTCAGCAGATCCTATATGGAAGGCCGTAGTAGGTAGCCAGGCCAAGTTTTGGTTTTATCTTGGAGTATTTCTATTTTGTTTTGCATTTTTTCACAGAGCATGCAAAGACAAAACAAAACACAGAAGTTCCTCTTAGAATTCCGAGAAACACTTTCACTCAGTCAGGTTACACACTTCATACATTTTATAATGCATCTCGATTTTGCCTAACAGCAATGTACAATTGACAAGAAAAATTGACTAAAATATGGGATTTGGAAAATTCTTACCAGAAGTGTCCATGCTGAATTAATGTCCATGTTGAATCAATGGACTTTCTACTCCTGAAGTCACCAAATTTTAGAAGAATAAGATTCTAAAAAACAAAACAAACAAATTTCTATTAAAGACAAAATTGTTACTCCAGTTCTCTGCCTCAATTAAAATTGCATTTTGGCATAAGGAAAGTTTAATGGTGGTTAGACTGAAACCAAAAAGCAATATAGAAAAAGGGGAAGGGTAGATTTTTCCAATCACACACCTGCAAGCTTCCACAGCTTTAAAAGAACCTAGCATTTTCTCTAACTCTGGCTTTATACTTTCTCTCTCAGAAGATTTTAATGGTAAGGTACCAAAGGCCTCCTGCTTCACAAACAACAGTATCTTTTCAGGATTCTTTTTACCAATTACTCACTGAAAAATCGTAAGGTGGAAGTCCGAGGAAATCTCTGCCCTTGAGGGAGTACTCCTCCTCAGGAGAGCTTTTTTGGTGAAATTTCATGGAATAGCAAAGAAATCCAGGAAAGCTCTCCTATCAAGACACTGCAGTTATGGGCACAACAATAAAGAGTGGTTGCAAAGCAGAGGTGACATTTTGGGCCCCTTTCCTGGTGTCACTGCCCTGAGCAGCCAGCCCATCACTCTGCAAGAGCATGCCAAACTCACTGTCAGCTCAGCAAACCACCCAAGCGCACGGCCTGAAGAAATCAGGATGGGCCCAGAGAAACCCAGGTACTGGAACCAAGAGAAGCTGTCTCGCTGGCTTCTCTTCCCAGCCATCTGCATGCAACTCTGCTACTGGGATATGTCAAATGATTTCTCCTGGCAGACACTCCTATTTCCTTAGCCTTGCAACAGTGATCTCATTATTAGTGACCCATCATGAGAACAAAGTCTGTTTCCAACTATCGTCCCCAGCAGAGGTGATGGATTTGTACAGATCCATTCTTATTCCCCCAGGGTCCCCTTTACCGCCTGCTGGAAAAACCCATAGGCTGTGGCCAGGAATACTTGGCTGGTCTGAAGCTCAGACCTGTAGCTCCCTGCCACGCACAACGCTTAACCCCTCAGAAAGTCCTCAGAGAGTGGGGTACAGGGCAGCAAGAGTAAAAGTCATTTGTCCAGAAAGCTGAGGAACTGGGGAGATGAGCACAAATGATAGGCAAATACATGGAGAGTCTTTAGGAGGAGAACATGGATGTTAAACAAGCCA